GGGGTGAGTATGTGTATACACAGAGCTCGGTACATTCTCCCCCCCCCCCACAGAATAATAAAAAGGTACCTTCAGTTTGTTGATTTGCTTTATCTTTAGGTAAAGAGCTTTTCCAGGGAAAAGCCTTTGGGTGAGGCTTCAGTACTGTTGCTTTGTGTGCTTTAAGGACCTGTTGCTTTGAAGGGAATTTTGCAGAAAAATAACTGAAACAAACAAAAAAACCCTTTACTTAAAATGCACCCCGCCTTCCTCCAGCTGAAGCAGGTCTCCTCCGACCTGGGGAGGAACGAGACCGGCCCCGCCTGCAGCGAGGAGCAAACTGGGTTCTCGAAGCCTGGGAACACGGGAAGGAAGGGCACAGAAGCCGTGGGGTCCGACCTGACGCACCCAGGGGCTACAAACGAGAGTTTTAGTGTTGGTAATGGAGCCTTCGTTTTCAGATTAAAAAATGATGGCCTGGGAAAAGAAGAAAACCGCCTTTAAAAAGAAAAAGCTACGGGCATCCTACATTGGTTGCTCGCTGAATTACAAAGGTGATTCAATTGCATTGAAGTCAAGGCGAGTTCTTTCTTTTTCTGTGGAGCCTGGAATCCTTTGCTTCATGCATGGCACATTCTCTTTTTTTAAGCTTCAAACCTCCCAGTGAAAAATATTAAATATTCAAGGTAATAAAATAGATAATATTTCTATACTATAGGTTCGGCCTAGTGCAAGGGAAACCGTCACCTAGGATATCCCTTAAAGTAGCCCCTAGGCCAATGCATTGCAGGCAACGCAAGGCACTTCCGTAAGTGATCCAGTTCTGCCTGGAGTCGCTCCCTTTCTGAAACAATCTTCTGTTTCTGGCTCCTCAACTCCTGGAGAGAGAGAAGTTCAGGTAAAACAAACTCATCTCACGCTGCGAGGGAATGGGTGGTGTGCGCTGGAGGCCCCATGGGAAGGAAGCCCTCGCAGCTCGGTGTGCTGGCAGGGGCCTCGGGAGTCAGCTCCAGCCGGCCCCCAGCCTTGGGCTCTCACAGAACCCGTGTCTGCTGCTGTCTCGGCTTCAACCCTGCAAGAACCAGCCCTGCGTCTAACAGCGGCTGTGTCAGGAGTGGCCAAGGTGTGTGAGACCTGACCCGAGACGCGGGTGGGGAGGAAGCTTGTGTGGCTGTCGGGCAGGCCGCAGCGGGGGAGGGGAGCCTGTCCTGCCTCAAGAGCGTTCCTCCTTCCATCCTTAACGAAGCACAGTAGGGGAGTCTGATAAAGGAAGTACACAGTTCCCTCAAAGAGCATCTTCACCCTTGAGGATCAATACTCTGCAAATTAATGGCAGACAGGTCCTTCCTCAGGTGTATCTTGGGTCATTAACTGATTCCTGAATTTCCCCCTAAGACTACAAGTTTTGATCTCTCAAGAGCAGGATTCCCTTCAGCAGTTGGCTGTATGGGTGCTCTTGAACCCAAACTTGAAAGGGTGAACAAAAAAAGCATGTATTTGCTTTCGGAGACCCCCCAGGAGCCCACCGGCAGCCCCTCCGGCCAAGGCAGGGCCCTGAGACTCACCGCCACGCTGTGGGAGAGCTGCTCCGCGCTGCGGCTGAGGCTGTAGTGCTGGGCCTCCAGCCGCCTGCACTGCGTCTGCAACACCTGCCGCTCCAGGTTCTGCTCTGAAAAGTCAAGCAATGTTGACACATTTTGTGCAGGCAGGGGCCACGGCCTGGTGGGCGCTCCCCTCCCAGCAGTCCTCTCCTTGGGCCACGCTGCTCCCAGCCGTTTCAGTTGTGCTGGGAAACACCCGAGTGCCACTAAAGCAAATCTGGCCCAGTGGAATAAAGACTAAAGGATCCAGCGTCGAAAGGCATTTAAGAAATACAGGTTAGGAAGTAAGGGTAAACTTATGGCCTTAAAAAGGATTTTTCAAAAAGAAAGATAGAAAGATAAAAAGAGTTAGGCTTGAAAGCTTTTAAGCTGTTAGAAAAAGACCCAAGTAAACTTAAGAAATATCAAGTATAGTTTTAATTAGTAAGATCTCTGCCTTTCCAAAGGATACTGAACCTGGTTTTAACAGGACTTCAGACCTTCAAGAATAAATGCCTACTTTATATGAAATGTTTCAGAGAATGGAAACCAGGAAGGCTACCTAACTGACTTTACAGAAGCCAGAACCATCATGATAGCAAAATAAAGTACAATAAAATCAGTCTAATATCACTTAAGAACTTAGATTAAAACCTTAATTCAGCTAAGAGGAAGCAACGTCAAGAAAAAAAGCATCAAAAGATGGAAAAAAATAAGGTCCTCATCTTGATACATCTAGAAAATACATCGGTGAACTTTCAACAGCCACACAACCGTAAACCCAGCAGCAAATAGGAGCCTTTATTCTTAGTGGAGTGTTTTGAAAGCTTTGCAAACAAAGGCCCCACCAGTGCCCCTATTCAACAGCCTTGAGATCCTCGGCAGTGCTGTGTGACAAGAAAAAGTACGAATTCAAAAGGAAAGAACTAAGGTTCTTACCTGCAGGTCTGATCATCTATGATTATCTAAGGAATAACAATGATGAGGTGATGCCTAAACTAAATCTGAGAAAAGTAAACTGCTCATGGAGAAAAACAGCAAAAATCTATCACAACTTAATGCCGTATTTGTAGATGGACAGCACTATCGAAGATGTCCATTCTCGGGGAGGGTAGAGCATGTGCTTGGCATACACGAGGTCCTGGGTTCAAACTCCAGTATCTCCTTTAACAAACCTAACCCCCCCCAAAATGTCTAACCTCCCCAAATCTGTAAATTCAATGCAACTGAAAAATCTAATGGGATTTTTTGGGGGTGGGACAAATATAAAGTGATCATAAAATTCATTGGGGAAACCGAGGGCCAAGAACAGCTGAGCCATCAGAAAAGTCAGGGCGAGCTGCCCCAGGCAATGGGGGTGTCGCAAAGCCCCCATGGGGAGAGGGCGCCCCCAAACCCACCAGATAACAGGGTGTCCAGGTGTGAAAGGTGGAGCTAGATTTCTACCTTAATCCATCCACGGAAATGGAGTCTAGGCCTAAGAAAAGCAGAACTTGAAGACTTAGAAGGAAATGGAGAGTATGTCCTTGGGGTAAGGAAGGAATTCCCAACAAGACCCCAAAAAGCCAACCCAGAAGAGAGAAACTTCACTCTAGTAAAATAAAATATGATAACATGCAAAATGAGGATTCCAACTGAAAGAGAAAAGGAAGCAAAATGTAGGTGCCGATGCTCTGACTGTGGCTACAGGGACATTGCTTTCGTCTGTACTAATAAGCTGGGTTTTAAAATGCTTGTTTTAGGTGCAGTCGAACTGTAGTAATTCTATCTAATAAAACTGGAAAAGGAGAAAAAATTGTAAATGCTTATTTCAAAGTATTACTTAAATGATCACGATAATCATGATAAAAACGAACACTCCTGTACAATATGGTAATAAACAGAAAGTGGCGGTGGCGGCCTAGGTTTTGCGAGCGGTGGCTGGCACCTCCCAACTCTTGTCAGAGCGATGCCTGGCACCGCCAACCTGCTGAGGATGGCGAGCACAGAGGGGCCCCCGTGGGGCCGAGTCAGGACTCTGAGTGCCTGAGTCAGCGCTCTGCCCCCAAAGGGCCCCCTGCCCGGTTCACTGCAGAGGATAGGGGGGGACCTCCAATTCTCCCTGTGCCAGGCTTAGACCACAGCCTCTGTCTAACAGGCACAGAGACAGGAGGTGGTGTGCTGGAGGCACAGTGACAGTGCCCGAGCTCTGCCAGCGCGGGCTGCCCAGGCCAGGTGGGCCCACACTCACAGCTGAGCGAGGACAGTCTGCGCTGGTCCAGGACCACAGTGCCTGTGAGGGAAGTCTGCCACCACCCTGAGATGCTTCCAGTGCGGCACAGGCTCAGGCAGTGACCAGGCCTGCCTCTCTGGGGGCTCTGTGAAGTTAATCAGCGTTGCATTTTCTGGGACCCTTGTGTGTAGCCACAAGTGTCAGGACGGACAGAATATTTAGGAGCGCAGGGAAAACAGCACAGAGGGCAAGGCCCAGGTTCGCACTGTCATACTGCATGGGGGCGGGAGCTTGGTGCTTAAATTCCACCAGTGAGAATGACCTCAGTTTTGTCCATGAGGACTTCCATCATAAGGAAGCCAGAGGAACAGTTCTGGAAATAGTGCTGAAGAAAAGGTACCTTCTAGTTTTTGTTTCTACTTGTGTCCCGGGAACCTCCATCAGTGGCAGGGAAGTCTTGCACCGACCAGTCTATTAAGCTTTCTTGCACTTTCCCGACTGGACCCTCAGCCTGCTCCCCGCCCCACCGCGTACCTTCTATGTGTTCCTGGTAAGCTTCAAAAATGGCCTCAATCCCTTGCCACTTGCGCCTGGGGGGGTCCTCATCGTCCTCCTCCCTGTCATCGCTGTCGTCGTCCTCTGAGTCCTGGTCCATCTCCTGCTGGAGGGGGCCCTTCCTCACAGCAGGGGGCTCCTGCTGCCCGTTGTGCTGGGGCAGGGGCAGCCGGCTCGAGGCCTGCAGCTCAGGAATGTTGTAGTGGACGGACGTGTCAACCTTGTGGTTCTGCTCTGCAGACAGCACAGCTGCGGTTCCTGGGGAGGGAAGACAGGCGCGTCACAGGGCCCGTGGGGACCGCGTGCTGGGGGAGGGAGGGGCAGGGAGCAGGAGGACAAGGGGCGACAGCATGACTACAGGTCTCCAGCAGACGAGACGAAGTAAGAGAGGCCCGTACCCTTCCCACACCAAAGAAGTGGCTGGAGGAGTCATAAAGACAGTGGCAGCTCTGGGCTCCCACTGGTCAGAACACGTCTATGATCTCTCAGCTGAGCCGGTCTCTGAGCTGCCACGCCCTGCTCTGTAACACGGGAGTCTCAGCTAGTCTGGAGTCTAAGCTTGGCCCTCAATAAGCATCACTTCCCTCATGAAATGCAGGCCCTTCAGTCCCGAGCACACCCAGTGCTCTGCCCTGACCAGGACTTCGCTATCACTGGGGCCTGTTTAGACGAGGTCCACTCTGTCTGCTGGCCCTGCTGGCGGTGGTCTACCAGGTGCACGCTGCCTCCCTGTGGATGGCAGCCTTGGGCAGAGTCCGAGACCTGCTCAGTCACCGCACTAGGACAGCTCAGCCTGGCAGGGGCTGGATAACTTTAAAATCCCGAGGAAATGGTCAAATGTAATCCCGGAGAGGGGTTGAAATGAAGCAGGGAAAACGTGTCCGCTGGCCACAGCCTCTGTGGGAGTGTCCTAGAGGGGCACAGAGGGGTTTAACCTAGCCATCTAGTCAAAACATCTTGAAAAACATGATTCAGGGAACGTCACGACAAACACCCAGTAAAGCCCTCCTCCTGACCTGGGGAATTCTCTTTTTTAAATCACTGTGAAACCCACTGCCCTTTCTTTCCTTTTTGGGTATCATTTCTTCTCTCCCGACAGCATTAACTTACCTGAAGGACGCTAACAACATCAGACCTGTATGTCTAAAAACGCTCACCTATCTCCTCAGCTCTTAGACGTTATCACAGAAAACTGTCAACGGTTTTGGTGTGATAAGCAAGCTCTCTTTCTGGCTCCTGGGGAGCACAACCCTCACTTATAACTCAGTAGGATCCTCCATATTCACTGAGGGTTCTTTCCTAGTTAATTTCAGTCTAATCTGATTTGGTGGGAATGAAACATAGTGACCTCTGTCCTCTGACCTGCAGTGGCTCCCACCAAAATGTCCAAGAGGCATGAATCTGGGGGCTCAAACGTGGGGCTGGAGCAACCATTATGTCACTGAGTGCTCGCTGGGTCTGATCATTGAAGGAAAGGCAGGTTTCCAGGTGAGTCTGTGTGGGGGACTCTGGAAAATGACTACCTCGAGAAGCATGGATCCTATTTTTGCTGGAAAGGCACCTAGCCTGCCCTTACTGAAAGGGCAGGCCTTACTCAATTCAGATGTAAACTTCCTTCAAGTACAGTTGGCCAGCAGACCAGCATCTCCTGGGAATGGAGCATTCTCGGTCCCCATCCTGGACCCCCAGAGGCAGAATCTGCCTCTAATAAGAACACCAGGTGTCTCTCGCACCCCGCCCGAGGTTTGAGCGGCGCTCCGGAACAAAGCAGCAGAGCAGGCCCAGGCGGCCTCGTTACCTTTATGCTTCTGCAGGGCCTTCTGGGTGGACTGCAGGACGGACTCGTGGAACTGATGTGCAAACTCCTCTGCCACGAAGGGCTCCCAGGGCTTGTTCTTCCCGTTGATGCTATGGGACAGCGGCACAGGGACGTCCTTGGGCGCGGGGCCCCGGATGTAATGAAGCATGCTCAGGCTCCTCCTGCCCCCAGGGGTCTCACTCAGCCTGGCCTTCTCGCCGCTGGCAGGAGCCGTCTCCTGGACTCGCGGCAGCTCCTGGGGCCGGCGCTGTTCCAGTCTCCCAGGCTCCGTGGCCTTCGGGCCGGCAGGCGAGGAAGCAGCGACACCCACAGGCGTCTCCACATCCAGAGAGACTTGCTGCGTGGCCGGTTCTTCTAGAGAAAGCAGGGAATGTGTTAAGAGCTGCAAGTGAACAGGCAGACCCTGAACTCTAGAGCTTACACTGAAGAGAGACCTAGTGCAAAAGACCAAGAACTGGGAGCCATTTGAGTAAATGTCAGTGCACAGTGTGGTGTGTTCAGCAGCAAGTCCATCCTTGAAAGGTGCTGCCCCAGGAAGGCATCTAGGAAGAAGAGTCTACAGGAAGAAGCAAGTTGCCTCAGGTCATCCAGAAGGCAGAAGGTGACATAGCCCAACCCAACAAGAAAGACTGCGTTAGGGGTCGAGGACAGGGCCGGAGCATCAACATCTCCTGCTCCATTAGCAGCACAGCGAGGTGGAGTCAAGAGTCAGAGCCAGAGCAGAGAGAGGAGTGACAGCAGGTGGCGGAGAGGCCTGGAAGACGGAATGAGCAAGACAGAGACGCCGGGAGGAGAGCGCCAACCAAGGGCCGACTGATGGACAACGTCCACAACCGTGCTGCCCACCGGGCGGGGCTCTGCCGAAGCTGGGACCCCCCTCCTTAACTCTCCGAGCCCTGACTCTGGCCGAGGAGATCCTTCACACGCGCAGAAAGCTTAAGAGAGAGATGGAGAGAAGCGCACGCTGTTTCCAGGAGGAAGACGACCTGGAGTGGACAGTCCCGGGCGGTGGCGGATGGGCTGGCCTTACCGCTCAGGGAGACAGCCGGACTGTCCCTCGGAGAGTTCCTGAGCGGGTCTGCCACTGCTGCTGACAGTGCCTTCTGCTTCATGGCCTGGAGCAGCTCAACAAGTTTCTCTTTGTCTATGAGAAAAGCAGCCTGAGATTAACAAGATGGTTGCATCATTTCTGAGAGGGAAGGGGGCAGGAGTCTAGCCCAGGCCATGACTGGCAGGCAGGCAGTAAGTCCTTTAAAAGGAGAAACAAAGCCAGGGGGACAGGCTGGGTTTAAAGGAAGAAGCTTCATTTCAGAGTGAGCCTAGATTCTTCTTGGCTTTTACTACGTAACATTTCAGACGTTTTCCAAGAACAGCCGTGCGTACAGTGTACGGTGAAATAACAGGTATCGACGATCTTCCGAGGTACCTTCTGAGGATGTGTTCTTATTTATAAGATGAAAAAGCTGTCCCCAACACAGGAAACAGCCCTGAAGAGCCACAGCCCACTGTCCGGAAGCACAGGCCGCTTCCAGGCACATTCTCCTCCCCACCGCTCACGTCACGCGAGTGTGATTCCCACGACGGTTGCCACTGGGGGAAGGACCCAGACCCTGTGACATTCGATGCCACGAATTCCTGGTGCACTTCAGGTACCTCTTGCTGACAAACTTAAGTGGCCACATCACTGGTGGCTTCCAGCAATTAAGTCAGGAAAAAAGATGCTCTTTACAAATAGAACTACACATTCTTGGGGATCTGTACTGAGAACAACGTGTCACTGCCCCTTTGAGGCAAAGCAAGAATTCCAGCTCGCTGGTTAAACACAAACACCAAACTGCCACACCCACCTAAAACAAAGGAAAGCAACTAAATGACCGATGAGCACATCTGCTTTCCTCTGACGTCCCTCCAGAAAGAGCTGACCCGGTGTCAGTGCGGTGGACTCGGAGGTGTGTGCCCCACACAGGCCAAGTTCTCCCCGAGCTACATCCTGGCGCCGAGTGAGTGAGAGCGGATGCCCCAGACGGCGTGCAGAACGCACCACTTCTTCTGCACCAAGGATTCCAGCCTAAGAACCGGCCCCAGCACGGCCCTTGGTAGCCAGACTGATCTGGAAGCATCTCTTAGGAGAAGCCATCCACTCACAGTGGGTGTCGGCTCTGCCTGGCTGCCACGGACCACCTACCGCCTCCTGGCGTCAGAGCACCCGGCCCAGCGGCCACATCAGCAGCCCGGAGCTGAGGAGCCTGGAGCACCTAGCAGAGGAAAGGCGCATCTCCACCCCATGCCCAGGGGAGCTGAAGGCACTGGAGAGCCGAAAAGGGCCAAGAGCAACCATCAAGCTTACGGCGGCTTTACAGAGAACACTGGCGAGTCCTCAATTCCACCCGGGGTGGAGAAAGAGAAAATGGGCCTCGAATGGGGCGACTTGAGTTTTGGGCGGAGAGGAGCATGATGGTGAAGAGACAGTGGGGCAGGTCAGAGCAGAGGGGCTGCTTCCCCAGGGAGCCCAGGCCCCCCCCCCCGCTTCCCGAGGGGCACTCGGCCTTCAGGCGGCCCCGCCCCCACCACGAGGTCCAGGCAGGCCTTACCCTTCCTCTTCTCTGCGCTGATGTGGGTCAGATTGAAGATGGTCAGGAACTTCTTCTTCTCTTCGAAGTTGGGGCTGCAGTTCATCTCGTCGGGGCTGTAGCGGGTGGTCAGCGCCAGCCTCGGCGAAGGCGTCTGCCGCTTGCTCTGAACCGTCGGGGGCGACGGGCTCCTTTCCCTCAGCATCCGCCGCCGCTTCCTCCGCTTCTGCGTCAGCAATTCCTCCTTCTGCTGTTGGGTGGTCAAGCCAAAAAGTTGCAAAAACTCTAGCTTCTAGATTGGGAAAGAAACAAATGAGTTTGAAACCACTGGCAGTGGTCTGCCCCCACTGACCCAGGGGCCCCTCCTGGGGTCCTTGAAGCCCATGTGCCATGGCCACTCTGTGCCGGGCCTCGAGGGAGGAGGACCCCGACAGCGGGAAAGCCAAGAGGCGGGCCCCGAGGTGGGTGCCAGCGTCCAGCCCACAGCCCGACAGCGGCCACGAAACCCCAGATACCTCAGAGGATGTGTCCAGTTTGAGGGGCGGCTGCTCAGCCACACAGCGGAGGTGGGCCCTGACCTCTTCTTCGTCACTCTCATCATAGGAGTCGTCCAGGTCGTAGTAGTACCCTGGCGGCAAGGACACACGGCTTCAGCTGGGCAGGGAGCCTCAATCCTCCGGCGGATGTACAGACCCACCCATTGGCCCTACTGGCCCTCTGAACATCCCCAAACCTAGACTCCTCTCGTCCCAGGTGGAAACGCACGCTAACCCCTAGTCCGAGGGCTTTTCAAGGCTGGGAAGTGGGGGGCAGGAGGCAGGCACCAGGCTTCCCTTGGATCCACAGCCCCCAAATGGTCAGGTGGTCCCTGGGCTGACACTGATCCCTCGGCAGGGGACCGTTCATCACACAGGCCCGGGGCCGTGTCCAAGGCAGCCCAAAGCTGTCTGTGCACATCTGCTGTCTGCTGTGGCCGTCTGGGTCCGGAACTCAGGAGGGCACAGGCACCCTCAGCTCCCCGCTCTCTCAAAGGCACGGAGCATGCACGTAAACTCACATGCCAAACAGAACCTCTGCACCCGAGGGCACCAGCACGCTCCCCGCTCCTCCTCACGAGGTGAACAGAGGAGAGCCTCTCGGGCCCTAAATCTAGCCCAGAACCACCACCCAGGACTCACTCGGCCCCGGCCCCGGCCCCAGCTCCTGGCCAAGACTCTGAGTCCAGCGCCGTGCAGAGCCTGAGTTTCCCACGGAAGAAACTAGTCTGGAACCTCCCTGACCCCTCCCGGGCAGACGGGGGTGCAGGTGGGTGCCTGCTCCCCTGTTCTCTGGCTCTCTGGGGGAACCTGAGGAACTGGTGTTTAAGTGCCATCCCAGCCCCAGCAGGAGCTGGAAGGAGAGGTGGCCAGACCGCCCGACCCCGACCCAGCCCTGGGGCCACCTGCCTGCAGTTGTGACCCTGGCCCCAGTGAGGAGCCCCCGCCGGACCCGGGCCCGCTCTCTCAACAGCCTCCTGCTTGCTGTGCCGCACTGTTAATACTTAGGGCTGTCTCACTAGCCCCGGTTCATCGTCTGTAACTGTGCGTGCTGATTCAGCTTTGCACTATGGCAAGACAGGCGAAGAAGACAGGGAACCTGCTCCCTGGAGTTGCTAAACCTCAGAGCGGAAGCCAGGAGTGGGAGAAGAGAGGCCGAGAGGCGAGAACCACCGCCCCCTGGTCCTGGGGGCGAGGGCCACCTGGGGAGAGCGGACCTTTCTCCTGGGCCTCCCGCCGCCTGCGCTCCTCCAGGTCCAGCTTGCTGACCAGCCTCCGGCGCTGCTGCAGGAGCTCATCGTAGATGTAGGCGGGGTCGGGGCCCCGAGAAGCTGGGGGCCGGGAGGGCGAGCCTGGCTTTAGGGGCCCGGTAAGCTCCCCAAAGGGGGCAGGATGGGCGAGGGAGGCCCGCTGCTGGCCCAGGAGGGTCTGCGTGGACTTCTCGAGTTCAGCCAGGAAGGGCGCGGACCCGTGAGGGAAGGCCGGCTGCTCCAGGCTCCCTGCCTCCCGAGGCGGCGGCTGGTACTTGTCCAGGGGGGTGGCCTCGCGCTTCCGGGGCCCCTCCTCTGCCTTTTCCGGGCAGTAGATCCTTTCCACCTTTACCAGTGGGACGGCCGCCTGGCGGCTGGGCTCAAATGGGGTGGGGTGGCTGTGCAGGGGATGGCCCTCTGGGGCGCGCCTCGTGTCCAGCGTGCTGTCCATCAGGGACACCGGGTTCCAGAGGGCTGTGGGCACGGAGTGGTGCTGGGGCTTGGGCGAAATGAGGGGTGGGGGCCCGCCAAAGTGCTGTGGAGGGTCTCGGCTTCCCGGCTCATGGCGGTTTGGTCCCGGCCTAGGGAGAGAACAGAACCAGCCATCAGTCCTGAGAGGGTGGTCGCATCAGCCACCCACTGCCCCCCGGCTACCTGCCAGCACCTGGCAGCGAGGGACAACTTCTATGGCAGCCCAGATGGGAACTCACTTAGCCCGCCAGAGCTGGAGGGGAGTAAAGGCCTCCTGTAGGCCCCCATCCAGGGCCCCTACCCCACAGTGAAGGGACCACACCTCCTCAAAGACAGCCTGAGGCAGGTACACGCAAGCTCGCTCACGAGAGGATAGAGACTCCAGGTGGGCTCTGCTTGCTGAAGGCGCAGCCCCGCTCTGTCCTGTTTCTCACTCATGACCTGGCAGTGGCTCATCCTGTCCCACCACTCCCTAACTTCCCATCAACTCTGTGAGGACAGAGCCTCATCTTTACTTTCCACAGGCAGACCCACCACAGGGACACAAGACGGCTCTGGCGCCAAAGGTGTGGCCACAACTTCCTCTCCCCACTGCACGTGGACAGAAGCCAGAGAGCAGCTGTTGGGGAGACCCCGACAGCCAGGGCAGGCCTGGCTGCTGCTGCCCCCCAGTGGTCCCCGGCAGAACTGCAGCAACTCCACAAGCCCCTAAAGCAGCAGCTACACCCAAAGGGTCTCCAAGGACCGGGCGGGGTGCCTGACCGGGGAGCCAGGCAGGGAGGGAACTGGAAGGGACCCTCCATCAGACAATCAGCTTTGCCGGAAGCCAAACTAAATGACTCTTTCCTTGGTGCCTTTAAAACAAAATTCAACTTACAAAAGACAATCTGGGTGTTGTTTTTCCAAAGTTAGTATCTATTTCTTTAAAGAGAAGCCCCATGCCACCAAGGTGACCCAGGGCAAGGCCTGAGGGGACGGAAGGTGCCGAGAGCACGGCGGGCGCGTGCCCAGGCTCTCAGGGCCCTTCCTGCCAGGCCGAGGAGGGGACAGTAACCACAGCCACCAAGGCTCCTCGAGTTACTCTCCAGCTCAAGCTGGGAGACAGCCCCAAAGCTGCTGCTCCTCTAATGGGCAGACAGACCCTTATCAAGAGCCTGTGTGTCCTTAAGTAAAGAGCAAAGGAATGAAACCCATCAGCAGAATAAATATTTCATGCTCTGAAGCCAAGCACAGAATGGTTTTCTAGCTTGGAGGATGACGGCTTGAAAGAGCATCAGGTTCATGCTGTTGGAGGGCCGAGCATGCCGCCAGCAGCCATGGGGACCACCAGGGCCAGGGCCCTATTCCCCAACCCAGGGCTCCACTAGGATCTGGGCAGAGGCCACCCCTGCTGGGGGCAGCAGCACATAGGCCCTGACAGCTGCGCTGGGACTTTGGGGGCCCCACGGAGAGGAAGACACCCTCTGGAGTCAAAGCTGGACTCCAGATTTATCCAGAGATGCTAGACGTGTGATGCCAGGAGATGTTGACTGCGCTCTTAGTCTCGAGTGTGCAGGGATTGGAGGAGCAGAGGGCAGCTCACAAGCAGACAAGCCAGCCCCTGTGTGGCCTTGGAGTGGGCCCAGAGCAGCAGGGGGACCGTCTGCAGCAGAGGGGACTCACTGCAGCCATACTGAGCAGGGCAAGCCAGAGGCTGCCGGAGACCCAGCCAGAGCCCAGCCACAGTTCACTCCCAGTCACACCCAATTAGCCATGGAATCTCTTTGGGGCCTACGTGGGTGCAGTCGTGTGGCTGCTGGGTGAGCCAGTGGCACCTAGGACACAGAGAGAAGACCCCCCGTCAGCAAAAAGCTGGAGGAATGAGAGACAGGGAGCAGAAGAAGTGGACATTAAAACACCTCAGACCCAGACACCCTAGTGTTTCTTGTCCCCAGACAGCACTTTGGACATTGAGGGCTGGAAAGATGCTCAGAGGGCCTCCCGCCCCACCTCCTTTGTGCACAACTGAGGAAAACGAGGCCCAGAGAAGGGGAGCAGGGTCCAGCGTTCCTGAGGGCTGGCTGGGCTCTCTCCGCCCACTCTGCCTGAGGGTTAGGGTTAGCCCTTTAGAATGAGCTCTGCAGGGATGGAGGGTGGGCTGGGGGGCCCGGGGCCACAGCCGTGAGCTCACAGGGTGAGCGCTGGCAGCTGGGGGTCCAGCACAAAGGCCTCTAGGAAACGCTTTCATAACAGGTCCGGGAGATGGGAATTTTTTTCAAATTATGAAAACAGAATTTTTTGCTTACAGAAAAATTAAAGGCAGCCCCTTCTCATTAAAAAAAAAAAAAGTTTGGGCAGAGAGAGATGGAAAGAACAAACGGAATTAGTAATTGAAGATCCTCCCTTGCCCTCTGCAGGCACCATGGGTGTCCCAGTGGGGGCGCAGCTGAGCTGCACGGGAAGGATCCCGGTTCTGGGCACAGGCTTGGCGGCAAGGCAACCTGAGGATGGGCGCCTTCGGGCAACTGCCTTCGGGCAACTGCCTCCCGTCCTCGCACTGCTCCCTCACGAGCAGGATGGGGGTCAGAGGACAAAAGGAAATAAGTGACAACATTCAGCAGAAAGCAAACCGTAGGCGCTCAATAAATGCTAACCTCAGGGAGTTCCCACACCCTTGGCCCACCCCGCTCGCCAGGCCCCACCTGGTGCTCTCCGGCCTGTGCTCCGTCTCCGTGGGCGCTGGCGGCCGGCCCATGTCCAGGTGCTGCTCCAGCACCTGCTGCCGAAACTCGGACACCTGCGACTGCCGGTCCTCCTTCTCCTGCCGCAGCCGCCGCTGCCGCGCCAGCCACTTCTCCTCCTCGTTGGTGCGCTGGATCAGCAGGGCCGTGGCCGCGCTGCTGCCGGGCAGCGAGAAGAGGCCGTGGTTGGAGAGGAGGCCGGGCAAGCCGTGGTGGGGGG